TTTGTTGCTCTTGGAAGATAAGCGTGTTTGTCTTCCTTTTGTAAATCTTCTATTGATGAATTAATGAAAGTGTTATTGATCAAAAAAAAAAAAATGAAATCAGAATAGAAGAGAAGGAAGAGAAACTATGGAGAGAGGCAAAATGCCATTCTGCTCCCTCTTTCTTATATGTGTTATGAGACAAAACAGATGTATTGGACATGATATTCCTGGCCACTCGTACCAAAAAAATAAAATCAGCAACAAATTAGCAACTTTATGACTATGACAACCACTTTAAACTAAGGAAATAAATAATAAAACAAATCTGAACTCATCTTTCCATGGATTGCAGGATTTGTTATGCATTTTGATGCGTTGGTAAGTAGTTCCTTTTATTTAGGAGCTGAGTTTGGTTTGAGATCTTTTTTCTGTTTGCATTGTTGTATTATTATTCTAAAATCTAGTATGGCTTTGAAAATTTAATCAACTGTGTGTGGGGGGGGGTGTTCTTTTTGTGGTTTACTAACGTAACCACTGCCCTAAAGTACATTTTTATTTTATTGCTGATCCAACAAACCATGGTTCCAGAACCCGCAAAATCTCCATTTTTTGAACAATGTGGAAGATGGCCTTTTGAACACAACCACATGGTTTGAAAAGAAGACTGACATGGCCAGGTGGTTCTGTATATTTCCAACCGTATTCCTGTTTTTCAATACACAGGAAGTTATCCTCATAATAGTTAGGGATGTATCCGATCAAGGACCTTGGAAATATGCATATAGCATACCGGATAGTAGGTTCTTCAATCCTTTGTGTAAGCATTGGAATTTAGGTGAAGCATTCCATGGCATGAACTGAAAAGTTGATTCTCAAGGCACTAGATAAAATGATGTGGCAAAACAAGATTCATGTAGCTGAGACCCCATATGGTTGGGGTCGAACCATTGGCGTACTCTGCATCAGCAGCTTCCTTTTTTCCATTTTTTCCCATTTCAAATTCTCTGATTTTAAGTTGCGTACTCTGCAGGCCAGCAAGGGGTAGAGCCAGTAGCAACAGCCGCAGCAGCAGCTCCCCTTCTAAGCCATAAATTCTGGCGCAATGGCTTTTATATTTCGGTATCATGTGACTGCTTTTGATTTGAAGTGTTGTGGACTTTGTTATTTTGGTTGTTTCAGTCTGTGGTTACGTTATATGTACTTAATATTTTCCATAGGCGTTTCAGTTGCGAATCACTCTTCTTTTTATTGTACACAAATTTGAATAGCTGTTGCTGTTGGATGCCTTGGGTATTCTTAAGAATGGCCCATTGTTGGTCATGTGTTATTTAGATTCTTGAAGGGCGTAGTGCACAATCATTTTGTTTTTTTTTTTTTTTTATTGGTTGCATCTAATCTTTTAGCATTTTATTACATGATTTCATATCTTAAACTAACCAGCATTCTAAATATTGGTGTACGGCGGTGGTGAGAATGGTCTTAGTTTTGAACTCGAGAAGAGAGCAACAGGGACTCGGAGTATGCTATGGAAATTGTTAGGATGTTCCAACTCCCCTTCTTCCCCAAGGGAAGGGTTTTCTATTTATAGACAACGAGATTATGCATTCATTTGGAGTAAAAAAAAATTCAGAATGTTCTCAAGGTGGGTAAATATAGGATCCCTAGGCTGATTCGGTTTGGGCATGGGTATGATAGAGTAGGGACCAATTATGCTGCCATCGTTACCTCAAGATCTTGCATGTGTCGCTTTTGAGTGTTGCGGACTACACGTGCTGTACTAGGGACATTCGCTTTGCATTGTTAGGCTTGTGTTAAAGGTAAATGAAGAGTGGTCTTCTGTTGTCAAAGACGTGCCACGAATGTGAGCACGCATTGTGGTTGGTTATTAAGCATTTAAGCTGGCATACATGTTTCATGGTGATTAATCATGACGGATTCTTGGGCTGCAACCTGCGATGCTATTGTAGTGATACTGGTTCGTAGGTCCGTTCTCTTACATTTTCCCTTTGCTCGACGAAACGTATATGAAGCCCCTAGTCCTTGGGGGGAGATTAGTTACTGCTTCTGATGTTACTAAATTTCTAGTCGAGGATTTTAACCGTATAGAGCATCGGACTAGTTATTCTATTCCTCGCAATCTCGTATCTGAAGTAAGAAATTATTGGAATTGAAGTTCCACCCATGTATGAAGTATGGTAAGGTGGTGTGCACCAACTGCTTAGCACTCTGGCTATAGTATTTTAGGCCGTCTATGTGGTCAGCATCGAAGGGGGATTGCATGAAATGGTTTCATGCGTTCTCACTTTTCAAATCTGGCAAAAATCTTAACGTTCGGCACGAGGCTATATCGTTGTCTAGAGATTTTGAATGAGTTTGATGAGTTGTCTACAGAACGGGGTAGAAGTTGGGGTGCTGGTTGATACCATTGATAAGCTATGTGCTAAAGCGGTTGTTGACAGTCCTAATGCTTTAGAGATTGCGATAGAGGAGAAAGAAAAAGGAGCAGGGGAAGAAGGGGGATGCCCCCGTCTATCGAGCGTTGCTTGTTGATGAGGTAATTCGATATTTAACACTGAAGGCTCTGTTCGAGGTGGTAGGGAGTGATTCTCAGAGTGGGGTTTATAATAGGAAAAATTTGTGGATTTAGTGAGTGGTGAGGGTGGTATGAAAGTGGGAGAGAGGGGGAAGAGGTCATCACTATGTCATCATCATGTTAGAAATACTCCAAACGGGCAGTGTTTTGTATGGCTTCCGTTTATCAAATCAATGGTGATATGTCATCACCAATCAGCATTTGTCCCATCATAGGGTTTTCTCGATTTAAAAGACAAATCAAGTACAAACATTTATTTAATAAACGGAAACCATGCCAAACATATACGCATTCTACACCATTATCGAGGACTGAAAATACAATACCCCTGAGATTGCTGGAGAACTATTACACAGGTAAGAATGAATCAGTTTTTTAGGAAACTTTCACCATTTTTTACTAACGTTATTTTTCAATGCCATTGTGGATTATGTATGTCAGTTTTCTTACCTTTTTGTTCTTCCCTGTTCTACCCTGTTTTGAAGATTTTGAACGCAACCCAATATTGACAATTGTGTTTCCATGTTCTACCCTGCTCAAGGGTGGTCAAGCATTTTTGGAGAGATTTTAAACACAGTCCGACATTAACCCTGTTTTGCTCAAGGGTGGTCAATCATTTGGAGAGATTTTAAACACAGACCGACATGGAAAACCCTGTTTTAAAGGTCTTTGCTCTTTTTCAAGCATTTGGAGAGAGAAGAAATGTGCCTCTCACTAGCTGTGATCAGTGAACCAGGTATATATCTTTCACTCTATTTTTTACAGATTATTAGTAGTTTTCATTGGTTTCCAATTTTTGGTAGAAGAACGACCCTTCTGAGCCGAAAAATGACTTTTCTGATCTGTGCGGGCAGAGGTATCAATTGGACTGGATTTAGTAGTTTATGGTCAGATTATCATCTCCGTTGAGTCACCAATTTTCAACAAAGTGCTATTTTCGGTTGTGCCCTCTGCTAACCTGTAATATACGGGTGTAAAATGAGGTAAAATCGGGTCTTCCAAGACCCACTTTGCCTATCGAGGGTTACCCAAATTCGGTATTGCAACCCATGTATTAGTAATGTTCTTTAATGGAACCCGTGATTAATGTTTATGGAGGATGTTCATTAGGTGAAAATGACGCATTTATGGAGGATGTTCATTAAGTTAATGATAATTAATGTTCATTGATAACGAGGTCACTTTACCAAAAAAAAAGTAACAGCGTCTAATAATATAAATTAATTAATTAGTCAATTATAACCGGACCAATTTACTTAAAACTAATTAGTAAATTAAAATAGATTAATTCGTAATTTAATTGGAACAAATTGTAGGTTATTTAGATAATGTATTAATATATACATTAATTTATATCCATTTATTAATAAAGTATATATTTGGCATCAATGCTGCAGATATAGCACTGTTTTCTCTGCTGATGTGTCGGTTAGAAGCACCGTTTTCTCAAAAACTAGTGTCTGTTTTTTCTTTTGTTCGAAAATGTTACTTTCATGTAGGACATTTCCTGGAGCAACAAGAACGTTTTTTGTTTGGTACCAATGCTCCAGGAAACATTTTCAGCACTGGTACCTATTATTCAGTGCCACATCATGTCCCTGTTGGTAGCAACGAGCTGTAGCTCCAGGAAACGCCAAATTCGGCGTTGCTCCAAGCCACACCTTCCCGATTTTCAAAGCATGGCTTGGAGCACCATGTTTTATAGAAAAACGGTCCCAAACAAACAGACATTTCCTGGAGCACCATTTTTTTTCGATGTGGCACTAATATGTTGCCGTTTTTTGGAGCAACGACATCAATGCCAAACAGACAAAATATATTAAATTAGTTTCTATTTATACTATTTATATATTAATTTACAAAATGAAACTGATTGAAGAGGGAAGAAATTTCAACCACATCTTAAACCCATTTGATGGTGCGCGATCTGGATTCTCCTAGTTGTAGGGCAACTTGGACGTCTGTTGGTAAGTAGATTGCACGAACTACAAGAAAAAAGGGGAATCAGAGAACTCGTGGTGGCTAACCCGGCAAGGTCGCTCTGGTGCTTAAGTCAGTAACTATAATATGCGAGCTGAGAGTTTGAGAAATAGGAGAGCTAGAATGCACTTAATCGTGCGTACATGGGTCTTGGGGGTCAATGCCCTTTTATAGTTGAGATGCCGTGGGTCTCATGAAACGGCTCCGGGATCCTCGGCCTGCCTAAATGAGATCCATTTCACTTTAGAAGGAGGGTAACGTATTGGTCAGTGATGCTTATCGTTACCTTCTGATTTGGGCGGGGAGAGGATAAGGCCTACTGTTATGCAGCGTGATCCCGAGGATTCGGAGTCCGTTGAGAAGCTTCTGGAGTCGATTACATGTCACTTTGGTACTCGGGTGCCGAAGTGGCTTTGGTACCGAGGTGCCCGAACACTTGGGCTCCTGAACTGCTGACAAGGCTCTCCTTGCTGATTTGTTGTCCTGTTGGCAGGTCGTGTCAATGTGTCCTTTACTTACTAGGTCGGGCCAAATCACCCCTCATCAATTGCCCCCCACTCCTCGTGCCAGGGGTCCTGATCCGGCGCGGGGAGTTCATGACGAGCCCAGGTGGATTTGGTACTATGTCTAGATGACGCGGAGGGCAGATCTTCGGTCGGACCTGTATGACCGCTTGGCTCAACCAGGAAATGACCCGGATTGCGTATCAGGTACGCGCGGACGCCACGCTGTTTATAAACTCTGCGGACGTCAAAACGTGCGCTCAACTGATTTCAACCTTGGGTGAAGTGCAACCAGTTTTCAAGGAGCCGTTGGATCATGCAGATCTTGGCCGTTGAACCTCGGATATGGTGGCTATAAATAGGGGTTAAAGAGCCCATTTTTCTCGCCACAAACCGCATGATTGAGTTCCTTGAGATCGCATCCAAGTCTCCCATCTTGGTGTCAACTATCCCCATGTCCAAGGTCATCCTGCTTTCTTTGGTCTTCTTGGTGAGTTTGCCTTTCCTTGTTTCCAATTTCGTTGTCCTATTCCTTTAGCTCAACATGTCTACTGTTAGTTTAGATAGCCTTTTAAATGAAAGTGGCGAGTTCGCTGGGGCCGAGGTGGGCACCTCGATGCAGGCCACAGAGTCCCATACTGTTGAGGTGGATACCTTAGCGCAGGATGTGGACTCCAACCCATCAGAGGCGGACTCACCTCGGCAAGAATGCGAGGCCTCTAGCAAGTCAGCCTCCACTTCCCGTTGGGGTCGGACTCTGGATAGCTTCGGCCTATCTTCAATGATAGCTGATAGGCTCTTATCCCTGGTAGCTCGGTATAGGCTACTTGATAACCTTGTGTATAGCATTCCCTTAGGCAATTTTCCTTGGGATCACGACCATGATGAGATCGTGGTCTTCGAGGAGCAGCTCATGGCTGGGTTGCGTTTCCCACTTCACCCTTTCATAGTCGAGGTCGTCAAATTCTTCAACATCGCCATAGACCAGCTCCATCCCAAGTCGATTCATAATATTGTAGGTACCATCTCCCTTTTCCACGATTATAACCGACCCTTAGACCTCGACACCTTTTCCTCGATCTTGTCCATAAAAAAGAATTCAGCCTGTGCTCTCCCCGAGTACAGGTGAAGTTATTATATGTCTCCTCGCCCCGGGTACAAACTCTTGCACGAGCTCCCGAACAAAGTCTCGGCCTGGAAGAGGCACTACTTTGTAGTTCGTAACACTGCGGGGTGGCTGTTTCCAACCCACTGGAGGCCCACCATTCAGGATCCCGGCG